GCAATCTGATCGGTAGCTTCACGCTGAATCACACATGCGCAGTATCATCAGCTCATCGGTTCTCAAATCGGACGCATCTGAAAGAAACGGTTCTCGGTTCAGTGTCCTGGTGATCCGAAAACCGATGCAACCGGTTCTTGACTCGAGAACGAGAACCGCTCCAGCAGTGGGCGTGTACGTTCGTTACCCGGCACGCTGCACACATGCTGCTCTGCTCGTGTTCATCTTCAGTTCTCTCTTCACAGGAGTTCAGTCAGTGTATTGTTTGAGTAAATTAAATACTATGGGATATTGGTTTATTTCGACTCCAAGGGAGAGTCAGCCACGATAAAAAAGTGAATAGCTTAAGTAATTTGTGGATTAATGTTTCTTAATGGAGATGCGAACCGTTTAAAACGATTCAGTCGGACTTGGTGAACTGGTTCAACCGGTTCACTAAGAAGAACCAGTTAAATCGAACGGTTCGTTCGAGAATCGGACATCACTAGTTCTCTCCTGTATCAGTAGCCAATGAGCTCGCTGCTCAATATTCAAATACCTGGCTTTCGTTTGCTGTAGCAGTTTGCAGCGCACGTCAGAAACCCTCCACCTTCCCCAGCTCCACCTGTATAGATCTGCTACGAGGTGATTCATGTATGCTATATGGGGTTATTTGATGTATGTTATATGTGCAGCAGCAGTATTTCTTACATGCTCACATCAGCATGTTGTGGATGTATTGGCAGTTCTCTGCCGCAGCAGCGTAGCAGATCTATTCCGCCAAGACCAAATACATTATTATTGTCATGTACATTACCATGCCAGGATTTAAGTCTTGAAGATATAAAGTAAATAAATTAGTTGTCATCAGCGCAGAAACCATAATTCACTTACTATACATAATCCATTGCGATTTATTTGTTATTAAATAAACTTATGTTTCGCCAGATTGCCGTTCATTCAAGTCTTCGGTTTACCTGCGCTCTTAAAATTAGCACAGAATCAGTTGTCCAAAAGAACCAGTTCGGTTCAGACGTGCTGTGTCAGTCATAGTAGGCAATCTGATCGGTAGCTTCACGCTGAATCACACATGCGCAGTATCATCAGCTCATCGGTTCTCAAATCGGACGCATCTGAAAGAAACGGTTCTCGGTTCAGTGTACTGGTGATCCGAAAACCGATGCAACCGGTTCTTGACTCGAGAACGAGAACCGCTCCAGCAGTGGGCGTGTACGTTCGTTACCCGGCACGCTGCACACATGCTGCTCTGCTCGTGTTCATCTTCAGTTCTCTCTTCACAGGAGTTCAGTCAGTGTATTGTTTGAGTAAATTAAATACTACGGGATATTGGTTTATTTCGACTCCAAGGGAGAGTCAGCCACGATAAAAAAGTGAATAGCTTAAGTAATTTGTGGATTAATGTTTCTTAATGGAGATGCGAACCGTTTAAAACGATTCAGTCGGACTTGGTGAACTGGTTCAACCGGTTCACTAAGAAGAACCAGTTAAATCGAACGGTTCGTTCGAGAATCGGACATCACTAGTTCTCTCCTGTATCAGTAGCCAATGAGCTCGCTGCTCAATATTCAAATACCTGGCTTTCGTTTGCTGTAGCAGTTTGCAGCGCACGTCAGAAACCCTCCACCTTCCCCAGCTCCACCTGTATAGATCTGCTACGAGGTGATTCATGTATGCTATATGGGGTTATTTGATGTATGTTATATGTGCAGCAGCAGTATTTCTTACATGCTCACATCAGCATGTTGTGGATGTATTGGCAGTTCTCTGCCGCAGCAGCGTAGCAGATCTATTCCGCCAAGACCAAATACATTATTATTGTCATGTACATTACCATGCCAATCCCTCCGAGAGTTGTCACGACAGAACTTAAGTTTTATTTGCATAAATCCTTCCTTTTGATATTTGCGTTCTTTCTTAAAATTCTCTTAATTGTACTTTTTCTCTGTTTATTTCCAGATTTGTGAAAGTGCTGAAGCTCCTCCATGTAGTAAGTGTTCACTATGACTTGAGTTGATTTAGGCACAATCACGTTAAGTAGCAGCCATTACGTAATGTCCCATGTAAAGCCCTGCTTTTGCACCTGTTTCATGAAATGTGAGTAAATCAGTCACATGGGCTCTTTTCTAAATCTGCTTTTTAATGCTTCATCTGTTTCTTATACATTATTAGTGAAAGCAGACAGACTTGCAGTAGCATTATTGCAATTAATCTATTAGTTTCTCAGTATTTTTGTCACCATTTAAAAAAACTAAACAAATAGCAATTTGGTAGCATCAGATCAGCAGGTTTGTTTGTAGTCTGTTAGGTAAAAATCAGTCTGGGGTAAATAAAACCAGTTTAGGCATTGTCCAGGAAGAGTTCACCCTTATTTACTCGCCCTCATGTCCTTCCAAACCTGTATGAATTTAGTGTATTTCTTCTTGCGCGAGGAGAACTAATATGGAATATTCTGGTAATATAATGAGAAAAATATGGGAACTGGGTCTGCCAGGCTCCAATTAATTGAGCTAATTTGAACTATTATGATACTTTTATTGTGTTAAGTTACGAAGACTTTGGCCATTATCAGAGCTTTTGGTGTTACTGATGGTAAAAGGTCTTTGTAATAGCATCTAAAATAATGGTTTCACTTCCTTTTGCCCTGCAGGATTTTCGTGATGCGGTACTGAAGGCTTCCTGTCAGGCGGGGAAACCCGTAATCGACGAGCGAGTCTTGAAGCAGATCTTGTGTTATTTGCCACAGCTGTACGAGCTCAACTGTGACCTGTTGAGAGAGCTGGAGGAACGGGTTGCTCACTGGTAATGCAAACATCAACAAACCACGAGAAAGCAACAATCCTGCATACCTTTCTTATTTATATTGCAACACTGGAAAGTCAGTAGCTACAGTGCATTTGTAGGTCTGTCACAATTAAATGGAAATGTCACTGTAGAACTATAGAAAAAGTTATGTTTGATACTTATGTAATTGCTAAGCTAGACAAAGAAATTTGCTTTATTAGTCAGTGACATATGTCAGCCAGAAGCACAAAACCAGTCATAAGTCGCTGGGGTATATTTGTAGCAATAGCCAACAATACATTGTATGGGTCAAAATGATCAATTTTTCTTTTATGCCAAAAATCATTAGGATATTAAGTAAAGATCATGTTCCATGAAGATATAGCCTATTGTAAATTTCCTACCATAAATATATCAAAACGTAATTTTTGATTAGTAATATGCATTGCGAAGGACTTCATTTGTACAACTTTAAAGGCAATTTTCTCAATATTTTAATTTTTTTGCACCCTTAGATTCCAGATTTTCAAATAGTTATATCTCGTCCAAATATTGTCCTATCCTAACAAACCATACATCAATGGAAAGCTTATTTATTCAAATGATATATAAATCTCAATTTAAATCAATTGACCCCTTTGACTGGTTTTGTGGTTCAGTTTAAAACAAATGTGTCAAGTTCTAGAAATGTACTCTTTGTACTAATGTTAGCTCATTTTCAAGATAAATTAAATAAAATATTCAAGAAAATATTTAATAATATGTCATACATATTAAATTTAATAAATGTGGTGTGGTGTAACCAAAACAAAACAGTTTACATGTGTGCACATTTTGATCATTATATATATATATAAAAATATTTTAATTTATTTAAAAACAATTTCTACAGTAAATATCATGTTTAAAGTCACACTACATTACATTTAACAACCTGAACTAATAATAAATAAATACAAATAAAAAAATCTTTAAAAAATTAAAACTGTCTTTATAGAACAGGTGTTTTTTAAGTCAATGCATGTATTGATTATCGTCCCGGGCCGGGATGAAAATACATATTCAAATATATAAAATCAGTAATCATAACTTCAGTAAGTTAAAACATCATAATCATGATCTGAAAAGTATACAATTAAGTTTTGCAACTAAGTACCCAAATACAGTAACAGGCAGTGACCAGGATTTCAGGATTTAAGTCTTGAAGATATAAAGTAAATAAATTAGTTGTCATCAGCGCAGAAACCATAATTCACTTTAATCCATTGATCCATTGCGATTTATTTGTTATTAAATAAACTTATGTTTCGCCAGATTGCCGTTCATTCAAGTCTTCGGTTTACCTGCGCTCTTAAAATTAGCACAGAATCAGTTGTCCAAAAGAACCAGTTCGGTTCAGACGTGCTGTGTCAGTCATAGTAGGCAATCTGATCGGTAGCTTCACGCTGAATCACACATGCGCAGTATCATCAGCTCATCGGTTCTCAAATCGGACGCATCTGAAAGAAACGGTTCTCGGTTCAGTGTACTGGTGATCCGAAAACCGATGCAACCGGTTCTTGACTCGAGAACGAGAACCGCTCCAGCAGTGGGCGTGTACGTTCGTTACCCGGCACGCTGCACACATGCTGCTCTGCTCGTGTTCATCTTCAGTTCTCTCTTCACAGGAGTTCAGTCAGTGTATTGTTTGAGTAAATTAAATACTACGGGATATTGGTTTATTTCGACTCCAAGGGAGAGTCAGCCACGATAAAAAAGTGAATAGCTTAAGTAATTTGTGGATTAATGTTTCTTAATGGAGATGCGAACCGTTTAAAACGATTCAGTCGGACTTGGTGAACTGGTTCAACCGGTTCACTAAGAAGAACCAGTTAAATCGAACGGTTCGTTCGAGAATCGGACATCACTAGTTCTCTCCTGTATCAGTAGCCAATGAGCTCGCTGCTCAATATTCAAATACCTGGCTTTCGTTTGCTGTAGCAGTTTGCAGCGCACGTCAGAAACCCTCCACCTTCCCCAGCTCCACCTGTATAGATCTGCTACGAGGTGATTCATGTATGCTATATGGGGGTATTTGATGTATGTTATATGTGTAGCAGCAGTATTTCTTACATGCTCACAGCAGCATGTTGTGGATGTATTGGCAGTTCTCTGCCGCAGCAGCGTAGCAGATCTATTCCGCCAAGACCAAATACATTATTATTGTCATGTACATTACCATGCCAATCCCTCCGAGAGTTGTCACGACAGAACTTAAGTTTTATTTGCATAAATCCTTCCTTTTGATATTTGCGTTCTTTCTTAAAATTCTCTTAATTGTACTTTTTCTCTGTTTATTTCCAGATTTGTGAAAGTGCTGAAGCTCCTCCATGTAGTAAGTGTTCACTATGACTTGAGTTGATTTAGGCACAATCACGTTAAGTAGCAGCCATTACGTAATGTCCCATGTAAAGCCCTGCTTTTGCACCTGTTTCATGAAATGTGAGTAAATCAGTCACATGGGCTCTTTTCTAAATCTGCTTTTTAATGCTTCATCTGTTTCTTATACATTATTAGTGAAAGCAGACAGACTTGCAGTAGCATTATTGCAATTAATCTATTAGTTTCTCAGTATTTTTGTCACCATTTAAAAAAACTAAACAAATAGCAATTTGGTAGCATCAGATCAGCAGGTTTGTTTGTAGTCTGTTAGGTAAAAATCAGTCTGGGGTAAATAAAACCAGTTTAGGCATTGTCCAGGAAGAGTTCACCCTTATTTACTCGCCCTCATGTCCTTCCAAACCTGTATGAATTTAGTGTATTTCTTCTTGCGCGAGGAGAACTAATATGGAATATTCTGGTAATATAATGAGAAAAATATGGGAACTGGGTCTGCCAGGCTCCAATTAATTGAGCTAATTTGAACTATTATGATACTTTTATTGTGTTAAGTTACGAAGACTTTGGCCATTATCAGAGCTTTTGGTGTTACTGATGGTAAAAGGTCTTTGTAATAGCATCTAAAATAATGGTTTCACTTCCTTTTGCCCTGCAGGATTTTCGTGATGCGGTACTGAAGGCTTCCTGTCAGGCGGGGAAACCCGTAATCGACGAGCGAGTCTTGAAGCAGATCTTGTGTTATTTGCCACAGCTGTACGAGCTCAACTGTGACCTGTTGAGAGAGCTGGAGGAACGGGTTGCTCACTGGTAATAAAAACATTTGCAAACTATCAGAAAGCAACAATTCTGCATACCTTCTTATTGATATTGAAATGCTGGGAAGTCGGTAGCTACAGTGCGTTTGTAGGTCACAGTTTCATGGAAAATGTCACTGTAGAACTATAGACAAATTTATGTTTGATACTTATGTAATAGCTAAGCTAGACAAAGAAATTTGCTTTATTAGTCAGTGACATATGTCAGCCAGAAGCACAAAACCAGTCATAAGTCGCTGGGGTATATTTGTAGCAATAGCCAACAATACATTGTATGGGTCAAAATGATCAATTTTTCTTTTATGCCAAAAATCATTAGGATATTAAGTAAAGATCATGTTCCATGAAGATATAGCCTATTGTAAATTTCCTACCATAAATATATCAAAACGTAATTTTTGATTAGTAATATGCATTGCGAAGGACTTCATTTGGACAACTTTAAAGGCAATTTTCTCAATATTTTAATTTTTTTGCACCCTTAGATTCCAGATTTTCAAATAGTTATATCTCGTCCAAATATTGTCCTATCCTAACAAACCATACATCAATGGAAAGCTTATTTATTCAAATGATATATAAATCTCAATTTAAATCAATTGACCCCTTTGACTGGTTTTGTGGTTCAGTTTAAAACAAATGTGTCAAGTTCTAGAAATGTACTCTTTGTACTAATGTTAGCTCATTTTCAAGATAAATTAAATAAAATATTCAAGAAAATATTTAATAATATGTCATACATATTAAATTTAATAAATGTGGTGTGGTGTAACCAAAACAAAACAGTTTACATGTGTGCACATTTTGATCATTATATATATATATAAAAATATTTTAATTTATTTAAAAACAATTTCTACAGTAAATATCATGTTTAAAGTCACACTACATTACATTTAACAACCTGAACTAATAATAAATAAATGCAAATAAAAAAATCTTTAAAAAATTAAAACTGTCTTTATAGAACAGGTGTTTTTTAAGTCAATGCATGTATTGATTAATTTAACAGATGCTCCAAATATAAACATCATATCATTGACCCATATAATATTTGGGGCTAATTTTATTCATAATTTTATCCCAAAATTTGACTAGTCACTTAAATATAACACTTCAAGAGTTTAATAATGTAAATATTTTAAAATGTATATTCTACATCTAACATCTACTCACTCACTTGTCATTCCAAAATTGTACGACTTTCTTCTGACACAAAATAAGAAACTTTAAAGAATGTGCTAGTTGCTCCTTTCCATGCAGTTACAATGAAAAGGACTGCAGCTTTCAAGCTTCGAAAAGGAACCAAATGTGCAATAAAATATCATAGAAATAATCTAAATGATTCTTGCACTATTTTCCTAATTTCTAACATCCTGAATGAAAAACATCCTGAAATTTAACTTGTTATTCACTGTAAATCTTGACATCTGCAGTAGCCCTTCTTGACAATTAGCAATGTTCTTTTGAGTCTGAATCAAATGACTCTGAATCTAAATGATTCATTCACAGATTGAACTGATCTGTTTCTCATAAAGAGCAACCAGCACATTCTTCAAAATATCTTTTTTGTGTGTGTGTGTGTGTGTGTGTTCCACGGATGAAAGAACATCATGCAGGTTTGGAACAACATAAATGATGCCAGAGAGTATTTTTATGTGAACTATTTATAGATGTCTCCTTGTTCAAACAGGAACGAGCATTGCGGTGTAGCGGACATATTTGTGAAGAAAGGCCCTTATCTGAAAATGTACTCCACTTACATTCGTGAGTTCGACAAGAATGTGGCCCTTCTAGAAGAGCACTGCCGGAAAAACCCAGCATTTGCCAAAGCCGTCCGAGAGTTTGAGGTGACAGAACCACTCTGACCTGTTTGTTCAGTTCACTTCAGACAGTAGTAACCAAGATGCTCTAGTTTGTGTGAATGGTCTATTGGGTTTTTTACATTCTTAAAAACTTCTCTGAAAATGTCCCTCTGGCCATCATCTGCCTTTCTCTTTCTCTCTCACAGAGCCTTCCATGCTGTGCAAACCTGGCAGTGAAACATTACATGCTGAAACCCATCCAGAGGATTCCACAGTATCAGCTGCTCCTGACCAGTGAGGATCCACTTATGAGTTCATGCCAATGTTTTTTTAAATACATTGCAATTCCTAAGGTGTTCTGAGTAGTATTTTAAAACATTACAGTTGCCAGGGTATTGTGGGTGGTTGCCGGGGTGTTGCTATGCGGTTGCTAAGGTGTTCTGAGTAGTTTTTTAATACATTACAGTTGCCAGGGTATTGTGGGTGGTTGCCAGGGTGTTGCTATGCGGTTGCTAAGGTGTTCTGAGTAGTATTTTAAAACATTATAGTTGCCAGGGTATTGTGGGTGGTTGCCGGGGTGTTGCTATGCGGTTGCTAAGGTGTTCTGAGTAGTTTTTTAATACATTACAGTTGCCTGGGTAATGTGGGGGGTTGCCGGGGTGTTGCTATGTGGTTTCTAAGGTGTTCTGAGTAGTTTTTAACACAATACAGTTGCCAGGGTATTGTGGGTGGTTGTCGGGGTGTTGCTATGTAGTTGCTAAGGTGTTCCGAGTAGTATTTTAATACATTATAGTTGCCTGGGTAATGTGGGGGGTTGCCGGGGTGTTGCTATGCGGTTGCTAAGGTGTTCTGAGTAGTTTTTAACACAATACAGTTGCCAAGGTATTGTGGGTGGTTGTCAGGGTGTAGCTATGTGGTTGCTAAGGTGTTCCGGGTAGGTTTTAAACACATTACAGTTACCAGGGTATTGTGGGTGGGTGCCAGGGTGTTGCAATGTGGTTTCTAAGGTGTTCTGAGTGGTTTTCTAACACATTACAGTTGCCAGGGTATTGTGGGTTGCCAGGGTGTTGCTATGCGGTTGCTAAGGTGTTCTGAGTAGTTTTTAACACATTACAGTTTCCAGGGCATTTTGGGTGGTTGCCACGGTGTTGCTATGTGGTTGCTAAGGTGGTAGGAGTAGTTTTTAACACATTACATTTGCCAGGGCGTTGCTGTGTGGTTGCTAAGGTGTTAGGATTAGTTTTTAACACATTACATTTGCCAGGGCGTTGCTATGCTGTTGCTAAGGTGTTCTGAGTAGTTTTTAGCCATTGTGCTGCAGTTGTCAGGGTGTTTCTATGTGTTTTTTAAGGTGTTCTATGTGTTTTCCATTCCATTACAGTTTCCAGGGTATTGTGGCTGGTTGCCAGGGTATGACTATGCTGTTGCTAAGGTGTTCTGAGTAGTTTAACACATTGCAGTTGCCAGGGTGTTGCTATGCGGTTGCTAAGGTGTTCTGTGTGTTTTTAACACATTTAAGTTTCTAGGGTATTGTGGGTGGCTGCCAGTGTGTTACTATGTGGTTGCTAAGGTGTTCTGTGTGTTTTTAACACATTTGAGTTTCTAGGGTATTGTGGGTGGCTGCCAGTGTGTTACTATGTGGTTGCTAAGGTGTTCTGTGTTTTTTAACACATTGCATTTACCAGGGTATTGTGGGTGGTTGCCAGGGTGTTGTTATGTGGTTGCTAAGGTGTTCTGAGTAGTGTTTTAAAACATTACAGTTGCCAGGGTATTGTGGGTGGTTGCTAGGGTAGGTAGGTTGCTAGGGTAGGGCAGTGAGAGAATTTATTTCATATGCAAGTGTGAGCTTGTGAATCAGAATTGAATCAGGAAATCTGCACTGATACCCAGCCATACAAATTACTAAGAGCAAGAGAACAGTGAAGCCTGACAGCAAACCCCACTAATAAAGACACTCACTTTCAGTGACCGGTAACATCCAAACATCTGAACACAAGAGCGACACGTTTTCAGAAGAGCATTTTTGTGTGACATGTCAGTTGTATGCATTAGTTTTACACCTAATCAGCTTTACAGAGAAAGCAGAAGTCTGAGCCACATGTTCCTGCATGTTTGTGTTGTGTAAGCAGTTCAGGCTTAATGCTGCAAAAAATGTGAACAATGCATGTAAAAATGCAAATGCACTGATTACATAAATGTGTTCAAACTAAGGATTATTCTAGCTCTTCATAATTACTTTAATCAACTTTATGAAATTGTTAGAAACTAAAGGCACTGTTATCGTGGAAAACAATCAGCACTTGCAACAAAGAGCTATGTTTGATAGCTTTGTGAGTGGAAATGTGATAAAAATCAGCAAGTGAAATGGTTTAATGACAACTTCTAATTGTTTATTATTCAAAGTGTTCTTTTTGTATAAGTATACATTTAAGATATTTTTAAATATACTGTACACCTGTATTATTTTTCCTTAGGTTATCTGAACAATCTAGATGAAGAATCGCCAGACTACAAAGACGCAGAAGGTGAAAATAAATGGTCTTATTAGGCACACAATAAATCTCAATCTTCTATTATATGATATATAAACAATATATTTATACATGTTTACAGCTGCCCTGATGATAGTAAAGGAGGTGGCTAATCATGCGAATGAAATCATAAGACAAGAGGTTATTCAGAATCAGTTTTTTTTTTTGCTTCTAAAAGATACATACAATATCTTATGCTTTTTGTAAAATTTTGAGGAATGTGAAATATGTTTTTTACGCAGGATAACAGCCAGAAGCTGTACGAGGTTCAGTGCCGCCTGACTGGGAATCATGTGATTGTCCAACCAGGAAGGGTACATTTACAACTGCTAATTCCTGTTGAGCTGTTTTTAATCGTAAATGCTTGTAATATATTCATGTATGTTTTTTTAGGTTTTGTTAAAGGAAGGGATCTTGATGAAGCGCTCCAGGAAAGTGATGCAGCCTCGAATGTTCTTCTTAGTAAGGGACACACTGCTCAATTCAAAGTGTTCTTTTTGTATAAGTATACATTTAAGATATTTTTAAATATACTGTACACCTGTATTATTTTTCCTTAGGTTATCTGAACAATCTAGATGAAGAATCGCCAGACTACAAAGATGCAGAAGGTGAAAATAAATGGTCTTATTAGGCACACAATAAATCTCAATCTTCTATTATATGATATATAAACAATATATTTATACATGTTTACAGCTGCCCTGATGATAGTAAAGGAGGTGGCTAATCATGCGAATGAAATCATAAGACAAGAGGTAATTCAGAATCAGTTTTTTTTTTGCTTCTAAAAGATACCTACAATATCTTATGCTTTTTGTAAAATTTTGAGGAATGTGAAATATGTTTTTTACGCAGGATAACAGCCAGAAGCTGTACGAGGTTCAGTGCCGCCTGACTGGGAATCATGTGATTGTCCAACCAGGAAGGGTACATTTACAACGGCTAATTCCTGTTGAGCTGTTTTTAATCGTAAATGCTTGTAATATATTCATGTATGTTTTTTTAGGTTTTGTTAAAGGAAGGGATCTTGATGAAGCGCTCCAGGAAAGTGATGCAGCCTCGAATGTTCTTCTTAGTAAGGGACACACTGCTCAATCGGTTTCATTAAACATGGCATGAAAACAATATTCACTATGCTTCTGTAATGAGGCTTAATTCACTTTGTTCAGTGGGCGGGGCTTACTTGTACCTGGTAGGATTTAGTTGGATGTTAGGGTATGATATTATTGATTCATAGATTTTTTTTCCTCTTGGTTATTTTAACTGAAAAACAGTGAAAACAATGGAAAAGGTTTTTGACATTTTTACAAAAAAAAAGAAATTGTACAAATTGTTGTATCCTTTTGATCTTATGTTCACTTTTATTGGTTTTGTTTTATTTTGATGGCTTTTTTGTTTTGTTGATTTTATGTTAATTTTGGTAATTGTTTGTTTGTTTGTTTTGATGTTGTTATTAGTTGATTTTATGTTGACATTTGTTGTTTGATTTTTTTTGTTTATTGTTTTTTTTTGTTTTTTTTTTGGTTTGTTGATTTTATGTTGACATGTTAATCTTGTTTTATATTGATTCCACGTTGACTTCTGTTGGTTTAGATTTTTTTTGGCTGTTTGGTTTTGTTTGTTGCTGGTTTTATTTGTTAATTTTATATTGACTTTTGTTAATTTTGATTATGTTGATTTTGTTTGTTTTTTGTTTTTGTTAATTCATTTTACATTGACTTTTGCTGTTTGATTTTATGTTTATTGTTCGTTGATTTTATGGTGACTGTTGTTTTTGTTTGTTGTCTTGTTTGATTTTATGTTTGTTTGTTGATGTGTGTTGTTTGTTTGTTTTTTGTTTTGTTTGTTGATTTTATGTTGACTTTTGTTAGTTTTGTTTTCGCAGATTTCTTCCCCTAATATTGGCCTTTTCTGACATACCTCAAATATCTTTTTGAGGTTTTTTAAGTTTTTCTTGCATTAGAAAAATGTATTTCTCATTTCTTTTGAACAGTTGAATGATAGTCTTCTGTATACCACGCCGGTAGCAACGGGTAATTTCAAACTGAACAACATACTGTCATTGGCTGAGATGAAGGTGAGATTTTTTGTTTATTTTGAAACTGTCACAGTTAAAATGCAATCCTGCTTATTAATTTTTTTGTTTGTTTTGTTTTTACATGGATATTTTTACATATTTACATACATTTCAGAATGTCTTATTATTTTCTGTCATTGTCTTTATTACGCTCAGGTCAGTAAACCTAGTCAGGAGGGGTATCAGAATGAGCTGAACATTGAGAGTGTTGAACGATCTTTTATTTTATCTGCCAGGTGAGAATCTGTCCATAAAATGCTAAAATATCAAATATGTGGGTTGTGGTGCTAATTTTTGTCCTATTTATTCATTAATCCTTAAAGGGATAGTTCACCCAAAAATCTTAATTTTCTGAGCCTCATATCGCTCCAAACCTACATGACGGACTGGGAAACATTAAACATATTTTGAAGAATATTTAAAAAAATGTTGCCCGTACAGTGAAACTTGAAAGTCAGTCGTGTCAAAAATATAAATGAAGGACAAAAAAACACAGACATATCAAAATCAAAATATCTTCTCTTCCACAGAAGAACGTTATGCAGATTAAAGCAGGCTGAATAAAAGACAATTTTTGGTGAACTGAAAAAAAAAAGAATATTCAGTGTCCAAATTCTTATTATTTATTCATCACTTATTTCATGCCCTGTAACATGAAATCCATACAATTTGCAGTCCATGTAATTCATACAACTGAACGTGTATGTTTCTGATCGATACACTCTTGTGGTTTTATCCTGAAAGCTCTGCTGCATGTCGAGATGAGTGGCTTCAGGCCATTTCCACCGCAATCGACGATTACACCAAGAAAGAGACCACCTTCACCTCAGTTAGACACCCTGAGATGGTAAACCAACCGATTGAAATTACCTGTAACTGAGTTTAAATCATAAACTTTATCATCATAATGCTTCATGTGTGCAGTTTTGCTATCAACTTGCAATATTTTCCAGGCAACCCAAGATGTTCCAGACAGCGGGGCCCAGCTGGGATCCAAAGCCCCGATATGGATCCCAGACCTGAGGGCCACTATGTGCATGATCTGCACCTGTGAGTTCACCCTCACCTGGAGACGCCACCATTGCAGAGCCTGTGGGAAGGTGAGAAGATTTCCCTTAACAAAGACCCCATTCACACCTGATATTAACGCCCATCATGGCTAATCCGATCACAAGGAGGAAAACCAGTGTAAAACATGTCCAATATGTGATCCAATCACTTAAACCTCTTTCTGAGGTCTAAATCTTAGAGTGAAATGTGAGTGAGTGAATAATGACAGCAGTTTTGGATGAACTGTTCATTTATTACCAGGTGTAAACAGCAATCTATCTGAGGACAGGTTAGATCTGAGACAGATGTTGATACCAGGTACAGGTATAATACAGTGCTTCAGGAACGAGTCCTAAAACCCAGAAGCGAATTAGGATTTTTGAACGTCTGGTTCATCATCCTGAAGTCAATAGGTTTTTTTAAATGGGGTTTTGGTTAAATGCCTGAAATAAGGTCTGTGGTAAACACAATCTCAAGATATTTTAATGTTTTATTCTACAACATGCATGTTGGGGGTAACGCATTAAAGTAACGTGAGTTACGTAATCAGATTACTTTTTCAAGTTACTAGTAAAGTAATGCATTACTTTTAAATTTACAATGATATTTTTGAGTTACTTTTGCAAATAAGTAATTCAAGTAACTTTAGGTGCTTCCTTCAGCCTGAGGCCTATTGATTTCACTTTTGGTGTGAAAGACAGGGCCTTTACAGTCGCCAAAAATATCACTTTTAACAAATGTGTATAAACAAATAAATAAATGAAAACAAATAAATTAAAAAGCCCAGCCCGGGTGACAAAAAGTAACGCAAAAGTAACATTATGCATTACTTTACATAAAAAGTAACTAAGTAAGACTAAGTAAGTACTTTTTATAGAGTAACGCAATATTGTAATGTGTTACTTTTAAAAGTAACATTCCCCAAATTGGGACAGCAAAGGCTATGCTACTTGCTAGTCCACTTACAGTTTGTGTGAATATGAACACAAGAAGTCCATTTTAACTCAAACTTTCCAACTTGTAGATTCTAAATAAAGATTGAAAGAGTAGTCGGAAGCTTAGTAATGGTAACCTTGAAGTTGTACGATCATGGTGTAGTTTGTTTGTAGTCTAACTTAAGCTTATTTCTTCTGCTGATTGTATTTAGCCTACAATATTCAGAGTTGTTGTGCTAATTTGTGAAGATCATCGATTATTAACAAAGCGTGTAAGAATCATAAACATTTGCTGGTCTCACAACTTGTTTTCTGCAATTATCCAAAAGGCAATGGAAAACCGATTGCCTTTTTGTTGAGGGGAAACATTGTATGATAATGCTAGCAACATGCTAAGACATATAGCAAAGTGTTATAACATGCTACCAACAAAAACAAGCTGACACATGCACGCAAAAACGTCTTAACAAGATCTAGAAACATGCTAAAACATGTATGCAACATACTAGGAACTGCTGAAAACATGCTAAAACATGCTCGCAACATGTTAGAACATAACTTCTAGAAACATGCTAGCAACAAGCTAAAATACGCTAGTGTGTTAACCATTAACTATATGTTAAACATGCTGAAAGTATGCTAGTTATACTTAGATATTATTTTATGTTCCAGCATGTATGTATGTATGTATCTATCTGTCTGTCTGTCTGTCTGTCTATCTGTCTGGCTGTCTTTGTCTGTCTTTCTGTCTGTGTCTCTCTCTGTGTGTGTGTGTGTGTGTGTGTGTGTGTCTGTCTGTCTGTCTCTCTGTGGGTGTGTGTGTGGCTGTCTGTCTGTCTTTCTCTGTGTGTGTGTGTCTGTCTGTCTGTCTG